GTATAAGCAGTGTAATGCATTTCTAGGTAACATTTTCACTTACTATGAATAAGAGTTTATTTTTTCATTTACTTAGTATGCGATCAAAAGAAAATATAGAGAATAGGCATATGAGATCAATTTAAAATTGAAGCTAAGCATTCAAAAGTTTTCACACTCTACTCAGTTTTAGCTTTTACTCTGATTACATAGAACATCTATGGTGGAAAAACTTTTCTGAAAGATGTATACCCAACCAGCAGAAATTATATAATAAGAATCCATATGATAGTAATACTCTGTTGTTGCTTCTCAATTTGTGCTGCCTCTAGGTAAAATTTTTCATCTTGAGAAATTACAATACAGGAAGTTTGGTAGTAAAGAGCCCTTTTAAAAGGTAATATCTTCTCTTTCATTACATGAATCCTTTACACAGTAGGAGTTTTCAGATCTGTATTACAAGATATACATATCATAACTGATGACCATAAGATTATAAGGTGAGATGACTGTGTAATGAGTAAAAAACAAATTGTTAGTTTAGTTGGTCTTATCTTCCTAATAGATACCCTTTATCAGAAACGATATATGGTGGCCAAAATTTCAGTCCCTTATATATTCCCTAGAATTCCAAAAATTATAAATATATTAAGCATGGAAGCTATTTTTTTAAAGAGAGCCATATTCAACAATGAGTATTACTAATTCTGATGTCATCATGTTTATTTTTAGTTGTTTTATAAAGAACCATCTTTTATAATTAGTTTTTTGTAAAAATGGGGTGGGTCATCATCATTAAAACAAGATTTGTCTAAAAATTGACCTTTACTTGCCATTAAGACATACTTATTAAACACTGCTATGTACTCAGTATTTGATTTCTTGTAGGCTGTATTTGAGATAAATTATAGTGGGAACTATAAAGGGAATGTTACAGGGCAGAGAGAGGAACTCCTTTTTTCCTAGGTTCCATCCTGTTACAGGCAGATGGCATAGTTTTGGGATTTTCTATCTCTGCCTTTAAAAGTTTTGGGATGACAGATATATTAATAACATTTTCTTTATAAGCTATGACTCCCTCATTTGTAGTTGGAGTAATACCAGTACATATCTCACTGTTTTTAAATATTAAATGAATATTTTATATATACACACATACATATGTATTACACACACATTAACTGGTAATATGTTCTCAAAAATAAATAAAAACTGTTATTTTAAAATTATTCTGAAGGACATATAATTAATATTACCATGGTAGTCAACCTTAGTTGGCTCAAATGTGATCTAAGAACAATCCAAATGTATTTCTCACTAACCAACTGACAGAAGTATGAAGGTAGAAAAGCCATGCACTTACATGTTGTTACATGCCAATTCCCTGACATAAATGTAGTAGGATAAATTGGATTTTAGTTCTTTAATGAGATGATAGTTGCTGATTTTCTTAGTATTTTGTTTGTTTGTTTTGTTTTTGTTTTTGTGAGGTCTGATTACAAGACTGTAGTGTAATCTAAGTCCTGATTTTGAGCTATATGTGATAGGCATTTGGTGAAAATGTCTTACTTTTGAAAGTTACTTTTTTTTTAAAGAAGGGTTAATTTTTAGTGTTTTTTGTGATATAGTAAAAGTACAAGGGAGAGTAGGTAAAATTTTCTTAATTCTGCTTGTGTTAGGTTAAGTTAATATAATATTGGCTGAATGACACTGATCTACATTAAATTAATTAATTTAGTTAATTTAATTAAATTCATTGTAGTAACAATATTAAAAGTTTTATTTCTTAAAAATAGCATTTCACTCCAAAAATTATGAAAACTATGGCTTGATGATGGGTACTTATATCAGATATTGAAAGTTTAACACTATCTATGATTACATATTTCAATTTCAGTTTTTAAAGTTGAAGTTTAAGTATCTGTCCTAAAATAGAAGAATGCAAATACTTCCTTTTAAAATGAGGAGGCATATTAGAAGTGCTTGCTTGAAATGATGCAGGAGAAAGGGTTACATTTGTCAGTTTATTAAGCTCTAAAACATTCCTGATACACTCTGAGAATTTTTTTAGCAGTATTCCCTAGCACACCTTGTATTTCCATAATCTGTGTGAGTCTCCTTTTTATATTTGCAATGGAAAGAACAAGAGTACACTTTTTCAGGTTCTTCCTGCTTTCCATAATCTAAGCAGAGAGATTCATCAAATGAAATGAATGAATCAAAATGAATCAAAAGTTTTGTGGACTTTTGATTGTAATTTGCAGTGTTCTGGTCTTCTCTGAGGAGATATTTGTACTTGTGTATTTGTAGATGACTTTTATATTTTCCACCAATTTAATTATTCAGTTAAGTTCTCATCATTGTAAATTGTTCCATTTGCTTATTTATTTTGGTTTTAACTTTTTGTGCCATATTTATTGTAGATGGCTTTGATATTAAACAATGAACTTTGATCACATATATTGGCTTTTTAATTAGACTTTGTTACAAATTTTTATTGAATTATACTTTTAAAGCTATAGTATTCAACATATAAGTAAATATTTAATAGATCTAATGGGTGTTCAGTGATGCTGAAGTGTCTCAGTCTACATATAATAGGAAACCTTCGGGAGTGGGAGTTCTACTAATGATAGTATAGCAATATTTGCACTGGGTTATTCTGATGTAGAAATGCTGGATATGTAACCAATTGAATATTTAAAACTTTTCAGATAATTGAAAAAATATAAATTTAATTAATGGTATATTATTAGTCATGTACATATTTAATATTTACAGGAGTTGACATTCAATATAAAATAAAAAATTTATAAATAATAGTGATTTATATTAACCATTGGATTATTGGATCAGTTTAACAACTTAGTTAAATTACCAGTGGCAGGATTTGATGAGAACATTTTGGAATCCTCTTTTACTTGTACTCAAAATCTTACATATATGCTAGTTTTCAGGGTAGAATTCAAGTAGAAGAAAACTTATGTGGGCTAAGGAAGTATACTTAAAAATATTTATGCCATGCAACCATCAAGCACATTACATGTACCAGTAAGATTATATCAAGTTTAATTTTATTAACAATTACTTGAAAGCCTTTTAGATCTCTGAAAAAAGTGAGTACTATCTTGGGATTTTCATTAAGCTATAAATTCTAAAGTGTTATTTTATTTTGCATTATTATGTGGGTGAAATAAATCTGCTTTCAAATAACAAATGGGTCACTAACCAGTTGTATGACTTTCAGTTATTTTTTTCCCGGCTTAAACATTGAGAAACAACTATATACATACCCATTTCTTTCTTTCTATGCTGCCTATGATCCATAAGCTAATCAATGTGAACACAGTTCCTTAGGAACTCAGAATCCATTCATTCAAATTATCATTACTAGCATGATCATTATATTTGGCAGATTTCGTCTAGTTCCTCTTCTGTTTCAATTGATACAGCAGGGATGATTGTGCAATAAATAATTTGTTTTTGAATGGTTGCAGGAATGTGTACAGAAATATGTTGATATCTTAAACTAACTTCCCAAATGTTCAGCATTTTCCTGTATGACCTTTGTGTTTATTTGGCATATACATACTTTGACATATATATCTTAAGTATCTGTGAAAGTGTAAAACAAAGAAGATTCTCATAGGGGCAGCTTTCCTGTATTTTATTGTTGGCCTCAAAACTCTTACTTTCTGTCTTACCTGCTCTGGTGACCTTCTGGATTCAAGTTTCAGGAAGCAAGCAGAGGTAGTAGCTGAAGCAAGACAGCAGCTGGGACCATAAGGATCTCAGCATCCTGCCTTATGGCCATTATCTTTGTTTCTATCTTTATGCTGTCACTGTGTCTCCTTCTTGTGCTCTCCCAGATCCTCTCAGCACTGCCTCCTCTTCTTCCTGACTCTAGCCCCAGTACCCCTGTAACCTACCCTGCCTCCTTCATTTTTCTCTATTGATACAAGATGAAAGAAGAGGCCCTAATTAGGAAATTTATTTTAAACAATTTTCTTAGTGTATGGAGCCAGCCATCTACTATTTGTCAATTCCCAAAATCTTCATTAACACTAGAAAAAATAATGTATAGACTTTTCAACTAGGGTGCATTAGATTATAGGTTCCTTAAAGGCTAAAAAATAGACATTTACAATAAATGCAATGTTCTCTTTTCTCTATGTAGAAATGGGTTGTTGCTGTTCCAAAAAATAATTTGAGACTAATAACAAGAAAGAATAGTGAGTAATATCCTTCCCCTTCCCCAACTGCTGAAAATGAAAATCATGTCAGCATCAAGTCATTTTTGCCACATCCCTTGTTAACAGCTTTTTAAGGGTGGGTCATGGCTCTGTGTTTTGTTAGTGTCTTAACTCCATAGTGACTTGCTTAAGCCTTATTCCACATCGATTTTGTAGGTTTATTTTTTGAATACCCCATGTTTGATAGAGCTCATGATTAAGATTATCAACTTTGACAAAAATGTAGCTTTGAATGAAGAATACATTTATTAGTATGAAAAGCTTAATAATTGATTTTGTTATTTGGAAAATGCATTTGGTGTGTCATTGTGTATGTCTAAAAAAGTAAACTTACTGTCTGCCTGTCGCCGGGGGAAAAAAAGTGGGACCTAATCAAACTGCTGTGGGGTCAACCCTTGTGGTTTTAAAGGCCCTTAATGTTGTCCAGCTGCAAAATAAAAGGACTTGGGAGGGGAAGTTGGAAGGAGTAGAGGGGGTGGGGGGAATGTGTGGAAAAGAACAGGGAGTCTGGCTTTTATTTTTTTTTTTAAGTGAGTTCAGTGCCAGCCTGGACATTGGCTGTGCAGACTATTGAGCCATTGTCTGCTCCATTTCCAGAATAGCCCCCAGTTAATCACTTCGGCTTTGAAGGGAATTTCCTCGTGGAATTCTCCACAGAAAATCTAATCAACTGACCTGCCCTCTCAACAATGGAAGGCTTTTTTTTCTCTCTTTCCCTTATTGGGGCGGGCTCTGTAATGTAGCCTTTTGTGCAGAATGAACCCTCCCAGTAGGAGTGGAGAGCGTGTGTGAGTGACTCTGTGTGTGTGTGTGTGTGTGTGTATGTGTGTGTGAAGAATGCATACTATCTCATGTTGGTGAATGTGTGCTTACTCCCTGACCAGATGCTGCGGTGCACGGGGCAGCCACCATCTCTGCATGTGTGTCTGTGTAAGTATCTGTATGTGTGTGTCTGTGTGTGTGTGTGTTTCTGTCATTTCATGTCAAAGGTACATTACCTGATTACCTTCCTCGCCTGCCAGATTTTTATCTAGATAATTGGAACTGCTATGGAGGCTGTGCCTTGCCAGGCAGCTTAGGATCTGTAAAGCCATAGTTTGTCCACCTTGTTATCTGTGGCTGCCTGGGCAGAGGAAATTAAAGAGCCCCACAGGCAGGGAGCGCTTCCTACCCCTGACCTCCCCAGTAATCCCAAACAGGACAGTGTACTAGTGCAGTCTTGTTTCAGTTCGGGGTTGGGTTTGGGTTTTTGTTCGCTCCGTGTGTGCTATTCTGGCATGTGGGTACCTATTCCCCTCCACGTCGCACGTCGTGTTTTATGGAGTTTGGAGCTGAGGAAACTTTGGTTGGTTTGCCAGGATGTTCGCACCACTTTGTGGAAAGCACAAGCTAACAGTGAGACCGACAGAGTGAGTGACAAGTTGTTTACAGGTTTCCTTGAAGGGGCCTCTGCTATATTTCAATCTGTCAAAGTTGCTTTTCTTCCCTCAGAACAATGCCTGATTGTTGTGCGTGAGAGTGTGTGTGTGTGTGTGTGTGTGTGTTTCCGTGTGCGCACGGAGAGAGCTGAGAAGGGGTGAGAAGGGATATCAATTCTTTGTGTAAAAATGCTACTACTAACATTTAATTTTTCCCGTAATTAGATGACAAATGCAGTTTAATCGGGCTACTGTTCACGTACAGATCTCTCTTTTAAGCAGCAGGAAATGCATTGAATAAAGTCATATTGATGTGAGGGTGCGTGTGTCTGTGTGTGTATTGCGTGTATGACTTTTATTATCTAGGGGAGAGAGTATGGGAGACGTGTTAAATGAGTTGACTTCTCACATTCGGTGATGTCTAGAAGACAGAATTAAAAGGAAAGGACAGGCACCCGGAGGTTGTCTAGAGCCTTGCAGCCCGAGGAGGAGCGTGCGACTGGCTCCGCAAGGGGGGAGCGCCAGACCTGCTGCTGGAAGTGCGCTACCCCTTTAAGAGACTGGTCAAGGAGTCCTG